AACGATGGCTAACGAAGTTCCAAGCATGCTGCCCATTCCACCCGTAAGTCCTTGAAAATTTTGATAAACATCTCAAAATTTGGGAAAGTAACACAAACCTACCAGTTAGTATTTCAGCTGCAAAAAGCCAGTAATAAACATTGATGTACTCGTACGTTAACACAGCCGCTAATTGAATAGTTGCATACATAAGGAAGCCGGACATTGCATAAAGAAGAGGTGCTTTGCGTCCTAGAAAAAAACCTAATAATTTGAGACTTATCCAAGAATATGTACAACGGACCATGTTTGTCAGAATATGTTCCTATCAACGGAGCCATTATGATCGTCGGAATACTGTTGACTATCTGAAAACATAAAATCATCACGCCTAACCATACATTATAGTGTTGCTTGCTAGTGTGTAACAAATCATAAAAAAATCTTTACATGAATGTTTCAAAAACATTTCCAAAATAAAGTTATTTACTTGCATTTAATATGTTCAAGACTCTATATGGAAGAAAATCGAATAAAAAAATTTCAACATTGCAAGTGCATACTTCGAGACATCCAATCAATTAGTTTTTTTCAGAGACATGCCTTGAAGCCAAACCCAAACAAAATCAGCCTTTATTGGATTTTCTGGCAATTCAAATAACTTGATCTTTGCTAAGAGAAGGTGTATATAGAAGCTTTTCGTTTTCTGAGTCTATCTCAGTTATGCAGGGCGTCCCCATACTTTCATACGAAATGCATTAACTGATAGGATTGTTGCTTTGACATGCATCCTGGGATCAGGATTATGTATAACAAAGAGAGCCAGATAATCTCTGACTCAATCTTGTAGATCAATCCACTTGGATCAGATAGGCAAGAGCATGCTTGAATGAAGCAACTTGTACTGAATACGACCTGTCTGACTAGCGCTGAGATAATCGTCAATGTCTGAGATCCATCACTTTTCGCATGTTCATTTTAGCTAATTTTTGAAAATTTCAAGATTTTTGGGGGAGCTCTATGATCAAAAGATAAATAGAGAGACCTTTTCTACATAACAAAACAACTT